CCCTCGGCCGCGCGGCTCGTGCCGGTTCCCGAGGGCGTGGGGCTGCGAGGTAGGGATGCGGCACGAAGGTCACGGGCAGCACGTGGGGGGTGGGGTGGGAGGAGATGGGGGCGCGGCGGGGAGGCTGGAGGTGCGGGGACCCAGCGGGACCAGGAGGGGACTGCCACTCAGGGTGGCCACGCAGGTGGCACTGGACCCAGGGCGCAGCGTCCTGGCCGGAATATCCTGGTGGCACTGCAGCGTGGGTCCGGTCGTGCAAGCCCTGAGGACACCCTGGCGGCAGTCGTACCCCCCCACCCCGCGTGGCCCGCGGGGAAACGGAGCCCCTCCCCGTCCCCCGGGGCAGGAGGTGGGGGGTGCCGGGACAGTGCGCCAGGACGGTTTGGTGCAGGGCTGCGCTCCGTGCTCTGTGCCCGGGCCGGACTTGCCAGCCAGCCCCGCAGAGGGGACGCCCTGACGTGCGGGGGGTCTGGGGAGGGACGGGGCCATCTGCGCCCCAGGACAGGGCGGCCCTGGGGGAGTAGCAGAGCTCAGGGCGAGGGTGGAAAGTGGGCATGGAGCCCCCCACCGTGGGGTGGGATGTACCCCGAGAACCTCAGCCCACGCAGGGCTCCTCCCCTGCCCGCTCATCAGGAGGGGCCTCAGGGACCCCCGTGCTGCTGGACAGGGAGGCTCAGCCGGCTGTTACACCCCCCAGGAAAACAAGGCAGCAGGAGAGACGCGGGGTGTGGGGTTACTTAGAGATGCTGAAGCTAAACGTGTTGCCGGCATCCGGACAGGGAGGGTCACGGGGAAGGGAAGGGGGCCCAGACTCCAAGCTAGGGCTCGGAGCTCGCCGGTGAAGGTAGCCGCGACAGGAGACCCCGGTCTGACACACGGACCTTCGCGCCTGTGGTCTAAGCCCCGGGTTCCCCTCTGAGCAGTATGAAGCCCCAACCCATCACCGCCCCTTCTGCGAGGAGCTGCTCCAGACGCCCCGAAGGCTCGCCCCCAGCTCGTGAATGGCTCCTTGCAGCTGCTGGGATGTTCTGCAAGGCGCATTCAGAGTAACAAAGTAGCAAGTATTCAGAGTAACAAGCCGTAAATGTCGGCAGCTGTAGCCCATGTGAGCCGACGCTCCTGGGGGTCCCTGTGGTCTGTCCGCGTGAGAGGCCCCAGGAGGGCTCACCCGCTGGTCTCCCCGTCCTCTGACGCCTGGGTCTGTGCCCGCGGCTCCTGGACGGGCACCCTCGGGGCCCTTCCCACGCCACGGGACTCGGTTCCGTGGGGACGGCGGAGATGAGCCTGAGGTTCACTGTGGGGGTCAGAGTCACAGCTGGGACAGACGTGGCAGGGCCCTTGGACGTTCGGTACAAAGAAGGCATTCTTCATTTTGCGGGGCTGTGCCTGAGCTAGGGGCGTCCGGGGACCGTGAAGCCCAGAGCGGAGTGTGGGGGGCACGCGGGAGGGCGTGCGGCCACGCAAGCCCCTTCGGGGGTGGGAGGAGGGCCTGGAAATGAGGCCCAGAGTGAGGGGCGCTGTCGCGGGAGGCAGGAGAGCCTCCTCTGAATCCTTGGAGCTGTGCGTCCCTGGGCAGGTGGCTTCTCCTCTCTGGCCTCAGTCTCCTCGGCTTATGAGGTGGGTGAACACTGGTAGCTACGTTTTGGGTAGTTGCGGGTTCAGATGAGGTGGGTCAAAAGCCGAGCTTGGAGTTCGCAGGACGGAGGCCCGGTGCGGGGGTCGGGGAGTGGGCTTGGCGGGGGTGGTTGTCGACTGGGGCTGGTTCAAGCTACCGGTGACACAGCCCCTCCCGAGTGTCCAGAAGAGCCGGGCTGCCCCGAGAACTAGCTTGTGGGGTGCGCTCAGTGGCGGAACGATCCCGAGCCGGCTGGGACAGCGGGGGTACGATTTGGGGGTAACAGCTGGTGGGCAAGCGTCACAGTCTGGGTGCCCCGAGGACAGGCGCTTGCGAGCGGAAGTTCTGGGGAGAGGCAAGGGCGTGGGAGCAGGGTCACGGGACCCGCGTCCACAGGTAAGCTGTGAGTGCGCGTGGTGTCCGGTGCTCAAGGCAGTCACCCCCCGTCCCCCGCCTGGGGTGGCGTCTCCTCCCTCCTGCTTGGTCCAGCCGTGTGCAGAGCAAGGGGGGCAGGTGCTGCCAAGCCCACTGTGCCTGGGGGACACTGAGGCACAATGGGGTTAAAGGTCAGAGGGCCGCGTTCATTCCAGAGCCCAGCTGGTGTTCAGGGCACTCCCTCATCGGGGGTCTCCTCAGCATCCTTCTGTGCCCGGCCCCCCGGGTCCTGGACGGCCAGGAGCTCACAGCCCACCCGGAAAGCTGGCCGGAGGGTCCAGCGTCCACCCAGCACGGTGCCTGGAGCCCCGGGGAGGAGGTGGGCAACACGCACACGCGGACCCCCACCCTGTGCCTCCGGGGGGGAGGCCAGAGCTCTAGGCACAGCCTTACCCGCGCCCATCTCCCCGACCCCCTCCCGCCATGCCGGGCTCCTCGCTGCCCCTGAAGCCACTCACGGGGCCTTTGCACCTGCTCCTTCACTTGGGACACTTGCCCCAGACCCTCCCGTGGCCCCTTCCAGGCTGCTCGGACCTGGTCTTCTCAGTGGGCCCCCACCAGCTCTGCCTTTTTTCCCTGGGCCCTTTCTCCCCTTCCCATACCCCCTACTCGGTGCTCACTTTCACTGCCTCGTACTGTGTGTGTTACGTCACTAGAATTTAAGCTCCCGAAGTCCAGGGACCCACGCCTGTTTGGTCCAGGGGAGTTGGCCAAGCTCCATGGCCGGGCAGGTGCTCACGGACTGTCCACCGAGCCAAGGACGGAGGGCAGGCGCCCCTGTGTGCCCTGTGCTGGGCCCTCCCCGGCTGCCTCTGGAACGGCAGATCCCCCTCGGGTCCTTCTGGCCCCGTGGAGAGCCTGCCCGCGAGGGCCCTTCGGCAGGCCGTGTGATTTGGTCCGTGTGTTCGTGCATCTGATGTTTTCTTCCTACAGCCAGGTTCTGTACCCTGTTGCAAATCGCCAGTGCTGTGCTAGAGCCTGGCGGGGAAGGCGGGGACACCCGCCGCTCCAGGTGACGGGACGCCGTGCAGGTGCGTTCCCGTCCCTCCTCTGACTCTTCCCGGCTCGGTGGCTCTGGGGACAGTTTTAAACTTGCTGCACCCTCTTAGAAATGTGGGTAGCAACTCTCCCACCTCCCTGAGGGCTCAAGCCGAGAAGCCCCACCCAGGATTTAGCGGCCAGTTGTATTTGCTGCTGACCACCTAGCGCCTGGGGGTCCTTGGCAAGACCGTTCTGGAAAGCATTTTGGCCGTACAGATCAAGATCCCTTAAACCCATGGTGTCTCCTGGGAATCTCCTGAGGACATAGAAACTCAGACCTATGTACCAAGATGTTCATCACGGTGTTTTGGGGGCAACCAGGAAAAAAATAGCATTTTTTTTTTTAAGTAGGCTCCATGCCCAGCATGGAGCCCAATGTGGGGCTCAAACTCACCACCCTGAGATCAAGAGTTGGGTGCTTAACCAACTGAGCCAGCCAGGTGCCCCCTAAAATGGCGTTTTTTAATAGAATGTCTAAGGACTTGGGAAAATGCTCATCATATGCGAAGTCAAAAGCATGTAAGTTTGGGCGTGGAATCAGGCCTCGTGTCTATAAAACGTACATGTGCTTCTGTCTGTGACGGGCCCTCAGTGGGCACTCCGGCCTGGCCGGCCCCCGCCCTCCAACAGTAACTCCGGAACATAGGTCAGGGTACCTACACGTCCATAATGAGGGAAACCTGGGAAATCTAGAGGGCGTCTTGGTGTATACGTGTGTATATTTGCGTGTGTTTACATAGACGTCTGTGCCCACACGTGCGTATGTGTGTGTACCTAGAAATTGGTTTTCCAGACGAATGTTTTAAGTCGGGGTTAGCCAGAGGGGGTGTGGGCTCATTTCTCCATTCTTCCCACAAAAACAAGGCCCGTTCCTGTTTCGGGGTTTTGCATCGCTGGCCTGACTTTCTAAATTAAGCGTCGGCCAAGTGCCGCTCTCCGCCGCGTCCCGATCCCCCTTGTGCTCTGCTCTGTTCTTCGTGCGTCTTTCTCTGGCTTCCTCCCTCGTCACCTCCCCCTGCTCGGCGAGGCTCCCCCTGCCCATGGAGACGGAGCCCTTCGTCCACCGGGAGCGTGGTAGTGTTTTGGGGTGTGTGTGGCGGGGAGGGGGCGTTGTCTGTGATGAGCACGGACGTGCCAGTCCGCGCTCCGACTCGGAAGACTCCAATCTGCGAACTGACTTTGTCCCGTTCTCCCGGCCCATCTGTCCTCCCCAGCGTCTCCTCTCCCTGCCCGGTCTGTTCCAGCCCTTAAAGCGCTCTTTGTTGCTCGGCCACATCGCCCTATTTATAGCTTTCCGTGGTTGGCACGTGTGCCCGTGCCTCGCGTGTGCGGGAAGCCTCTGGGCCCGGCGCTGTGCGGGCTCCCGGCTGGCCGGGCGACTCGGGGAGCAGGCTTCCGTCCTCGGGCACACGGGGACCGGCCAGGAAGGCCTGTGGTTGGGACAAGGAGGTGCTGTGGGGCCCCAGGCCATGGGGTGCACAAAGGGACAGAGCTGGTTTCCTTCTTGGGGGGCCCTTCCCTGGGTGCCCCCCATCTGAGGGCGGGCGGGGTGGGGGAGTGGGTGCCAGGGCTCCAGGCTCCCCGCTGTGGGGGGCTGGGCGGCTGGAGCAGATGCCGTCCTTCTGCCCCTGGCTGGGTTGGGGGGCCGTGTCCACTGCCCGCCTGAGCGAACAGGCCCTGTGTGCTCAGTGGTGCCCGTCCCCCCTCCCCAGGGTGCTGCCACGCCGGGACGTGTCCCTGCCACCCCTTGCTGTTGCTGAGGACCCCCCATGCCGGGCGTCCTTCGGAGGGGAGCCATCTGCTGTTCCCATCGGCCTGCAGGAAGGTTCCGGAAGAGCCGGTGGCAGTCCCCGGGGGTGGGGGTGTTCATGGGCAACAACAGGGGCTCCCCGGAGAGGCCAGGCCCGCCATGCTGCAGTGCAGGCCGGCCCAGGAGTTCTGCTTCGGCCCGCGGGCCCTGAAGGAGGCGCTGGTCTCCACCGACCCCGCCCTGCGGGAGCGCTATGTGTCCTCCTTCACCCCTGCCGAGAGGCTTTTCCTGGCCGAGGCCTACAACCCCCGGAGGACCCTCTTCTGCACGCTGCTCATCCGCACGGCCTTCGACTGGCTCCTCAGCCGTCCCGAGGCCCCCGAGGACTTCCAGACCTTCCACGCCTCCCTGCCGTCCCGGAGGCAGAGCCCTGCCCGCAAGCACATCTACCTGCAGCCCATAGGTACCAGGCCGGGGGGCCCGTGGGTGGGGGCGTGTCCTGGAGCCGGCAGGGCCCTGCAGGGAACCCGACTCCAAATCTAGGTACGAGGCAGGGAGGCTGTGCCCACCCAGGCCCCAGGCAGGCCCTGACAGCAACGGGGACAGCACTGGTGGGGTTGGGCGTGGGGGTGGGGGCAGGGAGCCCCCCTCGGCTCAGATGCTCCACCTCCCCTGCCCCCCCCCCCCCCCCCCAGCTCAGACAGCTGTCAGAAAGCCCCGGGCCGTGGGGCCCTCTGTGGTTGTGTCACGGTCCGCGGCTCGCAGGTGTGGCCTCGCCCAGGTGTGCCATCCCAGGCCCTGTGCTGGGTGCCTTCCAGAGACCAGATCCCCCCGTGGGGGCTGAGATTAGGACCAGCCCATGTCACAGGCGCGGAAACAGGCCGGGAGAGGTCACTCGACCCCCGTCACCCGGAGCTGGTGATGCGTGGGGGTGGGACGTGAGCGCTGCTGGCCTGTTTGACGCGGAGGCTGGCTGGGCGCGTGAGGGACGCCGGGTGCTGGCGGGGAGGGCGGCCACTGGGCGGTCTGCGCGCTGAGGGTGGGGGTCCTGGCCCGGCAGAGAGGGGACGTGGGGCAGGTGTGGCTTTGCAGAGGAGGAGCCGGCCGGAGCTGGGGGCAGAACCTGTGAGTCCCCTGCAGGCAGCCCTCGTTTTCCATCACCCTGCGGCCAGTCCGCCCTCTCTGCCTAGAGACGCTGCCTCCACCCAGCCCCTAAACCATGCACTTTGCTCCGTGTCCCCCGCTGGCGGCTCCCCAGGGCTTCCCAAGCTCTCGTGAGCCGATCACGGGCACCTCGTTAACATGTGGCTTCGGTTCTGAGGTGGCCTGGGGCTCTGCATTTCCAACCAGCCCGTCCCAGGCCCTCCTGGCTGCCACCCTCGGTCTGTGCCCCTCTGTCCTAAAACACAGCCCGGTTGTGGCTCCCCCCAGGGGCACCTCACCCGCCCCCCGGCCTCGTCTGCACCCTCCCTGTGTCCCACTCTGCTCCTGCCAGGCTGGCTCTTGGCAGCACTAACCCGAGGGAGGGGCCCCTCTGCCCCGCCCCCGCCGCCCCGGCTGCCCCGCCAGCCTCAGGGACTATGGTGCCTGATGAGGCCCCGCCACCCCTCCCAGAGCTCCCCGCCCTCCAGACTTGTGTCACCTGCATCTTTCATCTGGGCGTTGGCCTGTCCTCCATTTTTCTCCTTTGTTCTTTTAAAGATGTCTGTGTGCCCGACTCTGCAAAGGCAGGTCCGTGTCAGCCTCGTTGGCACAGTGGCTGGCGTGGCCGGGGGCGCTGGGTGGGGGCGCTGGGCGCAGGCCAGTGGGGGCCACGCAGCTGATGCGCTGCCCCGCCCCCAGACCTGAGTGAGGGGCCGGCGGGCGGCGCTCTACTGGAACACCTGAGGAACTGCACGGAGGCCTTTTTCTTGGGCTTGCAGGTCAGGTGCCTGCCCTCGGTGGCGGCCGCGTCCATCCACTGCTCCTCGCGTCCCAGCCAGGACTCGGACAGACTCCAGCTCCACACAGGTGGGTGAGCGCACGGGGCGCAGGCTCTGCCACTTGGCATGGGGCCCTTTCCGGGGGCCCTTGCTGTCTGCGTGTCTTGTCATTCTTCACTGTTAGCTGGACATCTTAATAGGAAAGGTAGTTTAATTTAGAAGATCTCGTGGCCGGGGGTGATGTGATTTGTTCTAGGGAGGATTCTGGTTTTCCTCTGCCAGGCAGCTTTTCTGGGCTGCCCATGGCCCTGGGAGTCCAGCCTGCAGCCCCCACCCCCCACCCCCATCCCAGAAGCAGCTCAGCCTTAGCTGCCCGCTCCAATCCTCTCCCCGGTTCTAATTTCTCATCAGATTCTGATTTTTTTTTAAAGTCCCATTTACTGAGGCATAATTCACATGTAGTGAAACCCTCCCTTTCGTAACAGCTCTGTGAGCCTTGACGAACACACCGGTGACCCAGTCGCCACTAATCAGATGTAGAAAAGCTTGCTTCACCCCCCCCCCCCCAGGCATGTGCAGTGTCCCCTGTGGCCAGCGCCGCCCCATTTAGGATGCTTTAAGGAGTTTTTTTGTATTTCACCCAGCTTGTCTGGTTATCTCCGGCAGGAGGGCTGGCCGCAGTCCCCAGCATGTGCCACGGGGAGCTGATAGCACGGAGTTTTCGGGGGGTACAGGGAGCTCTTGGCTGGGGCAGATGCCATCCTGATGGCGGCGGTTCCTTCCTGGGTCCCAGGCTGCAGGTTTGGCCACTGAGACCCTCCTCTCCCAGTCCTAGACCTTGCTGGTCCTTCCTTTGTCCCCTGCCTACAGGACACGGCCCCGCTCCAGGCCCAGTCCCTGACTGCTGCGTCTCTGCCCACCACCATAGCACCTTCAGGTCTCTCTGACCCTCTGTCTCTTCGTCTAAGGACTCTAATGATTGCATTGAGCCCACCCGGATAATCCGGAATAACTTCCCATTTTAAGGCCTTCAGTTTAATCACGTCCACAGCGGCCCTCCTGCTGTGAGGCAGAACATTCACAGGCCCTGGGGACTAGGATGCAGTCGTCTCTGGGGCCGGGGTCCCATCCTGTGGCCGCAGGGGCACCGTCCCCTGAACACCGGCCCCGTTGGTCAAGTGGCCTTCTTGGCGTCCCCACTTGGATGTCTCTGGGCCTTTCAACTACCCCGTCCAAACCAGCTCTGCTGAGTTTTGGAAATGGAGACCCTGAGGTCCTGCCCACGTGACCCCGGCTGCCTGCCCCCGAGGCCCAGGCCTGTGGCCCCTGCTCCATGTCGTGCCACGTGGCTGCTAGGACTTCTCGGCCTCGGACGACCAGCTGCTTGCGCAATGTGGCGAGCTTGCACCTGACTTTGGGAGGGGCTAGCGTGGGCAGAGGAAGAGGGGATGACAGGATTTCCTGCCCGGAGCCTGGGGCTGGCAGACGGGGGCCCAGCAGCCCCCTCAGCGCCCCTCGGGCCCTCTCCCCTCGCAGACGGCATCCTGTCTTTCCTGAAGAACAGCAAGCCGGGTGACGCGCTGTGTGTGCTGGGCCTCACGCTGTCCGACCTGTACCCGTGCGAGGCCTGGAGCTTCACCTTTGGCAAGTTCCTTCCAGGCCACGGTGAGCCAGAGCCCCGGCACCCCTGCCTCAGCCCGCGCTTGTGGGGGGCCCCGCCCTGGGCCAGCGAGCGCATGGGAGCGCCAACCCCCCCGGGGAGGATGACGCACTAGCTGGAAGCCGCTGCCCTGAACGCGCATCCCCGCGTCCTGCCTCCTCTTGAGCAGGGACCTCGCGGCCACGTTCACGGGGGCGCGCTGGCAGGGCCGGGCCCCCAGGACCCGTGCACCCCGAGGGCGGGGCAGTTTTGCTCCTGGGCTCTCCGTGAGCGGCTGCCCTGGCGTGTCTGCCTCCCCCCAGAAGTAGGCGTCTGCAGCTTTGCCCGGTTCTCGGGGGATCTCCTGCAGTCGGGGCCCAGCGCCGCTGACCCAGCCCCGGCCGAGGTGGCCGCAGACAGCCCCGAGACTCCCGTGCGGGTCGGAGGCCAGAGCGTGGGCTTCAGCACCCTGGGGATGGTCCAGTGCTGCAAGGTGGGCAGGGAGGCCAGGACGTGGGGTGAGTGCACGGCGGGGAGGAGAAGATGGGGCAGCAGGAGGGTGGAAGGCCTGGGGGCTCGGGCGAGTTCTAGGAATCTGGGGAGGATGTGCGATCGGACAGAAGGGCGTGAGCGCTCCGTCCAGCCCTCACGACGAGGGTCAGGCTTCAGGGAGCGCAGACAGCAAGGCCCAGAGCTGGCCAGACCTTTGCCTGAGCTCACACAGCTGGGAAGGGGCAGCGTTGGGATGGGAACCGGGGTCTTTCTGCCGCCCAGGCTCCCATGCTGGGGGGCCCCTGGGGGCCGCCGCGCCGGAGACGTCCGCCTGTGCCCTGTGCCGTCGGGAGCGGGGCCGAGGGCACACGGACCGCTTCTGGCCACCGGGGCCCTGCGGGCGGCGCCGGGGCCTTGGCCGGCGGTCGGGTGCGCAGCCCGAGGGCAGTGGCGCTGTGTGGGCTCCCTCAGGTCACGTGTCATGAGCTCTGCCACCTCCTGGGCCTGGGGAACTGCCGCTGGCTGCGCTGCCTCATGCAGGGGGCGCTCAGCCTGGACGAGGCCCTGCGGCGGCCCCTGGACCTCTGTCCCATCTGCCTGAGGAAGCTGCAGCACGTCCTGGGCTTCAAGCTCGTCGAGAGGTACAAGGTGAGTGGCGCTCCCGGGGCAGCGCCCCCCTCCGCCCAGCACCCGCCCAGTCCGGCCTCGCGCTGGGGGTCGGAGGCCAGTGGGCCGAGAGGCGGGTCCCGGGTGCGAGAACCCCAGGCCGAGTGAGCAGACCCGTGTGCCAACCTCTTGGCATCCTGCTGGTGCTGGGCAGCACGTCACGGCCTCAGCCGGGTGCCTGGCCCACGGTCCGCACCCCGTAATGGTGGCCGAGGCCATCAGGTTGGACGAGTGCAGGAGGGACAAGGGGCAGATAGATGGCTTTTCTCAGGCCACCGTCTCTGAGCGCCGGTCAGGTGCTGGGCCTGTCCTAGCGCTTCCGGCATCTGCTCAGACGCCCTCCTGCGTCCTGCCGCAGGCTCTGCCCTGCCCTCCCTCCTCCCTCCTCCCCCCCTCCTCCCTCCTCCCCCCTCCTCCCTCCTCCCCCCCCTCCCCCGCCCAGAGGAAGCGCCGGCCCTGGCGAGGAGGCTCACGCACACGCTGGGAGGTGGCCAGGCTGAGCTCGCGGGGCGATGCTGCCCTCTGCTGTCACCTTGAGGTGCTGCCTGCAGCAGGGTCCCCAGGCCGCCCCGAGGCCCAGGGAGACGGGCCAGCAGCTGCCCGGGGGAAGGAACCTCCTCCTCGGGGAGGAGGGCTTGGCAAACTCAAACTTCATTCTGAGTCCAAGTCCAAAGGCAGGGGGGTGTGTATTAAGGCCTATCAACACAATCACTCTGGCTGAATTTTAGTTTCCAGCCCAAAGCCATGTTTGAGGCTCTGGGAAGCCCCCCGTTGCTCTTGGAGGCCGGCAGCCTGGGCCGTAAGCGGTGGCGTTCTGGTGAAGGTCAGGGTGGCAGACTCCGTGGGGGACAGGTTCTGACCCGGCCCCTCGGGAGGGGAGGGCCTGCATGTCTCACAGGCTCCCGGGGGGTGCTGCTGGGCAGGGACCCCACTTTGAGGACCGCTGAGCTAGCGGGCTGGGCGTGTGCAGGTCCCAGAGCTGCCGCCTTGTGCGGATCCTTTCTGAGTGACTCTGGGGAATGGGCTATTGAGGAAGGGGGCAGCCTAGCTGGAGGGGGGACCCCACATGCTGCCCCGTGGAGGGCGTGGGGGGAGCGGCTGATGGCTGTCCGCGGGAAGAGGGGAGCTGGGACGTGCTGGGAGGTGTACAGGAAGGGGGCCGGCTCCGGCCTGTGAAAAGCACGAGCATCCTCACTTGCGTTCCTCCTGGGCTTGTGTTCACCTGCCCCAACTTTCGTGGCTTCTCTGCTCCCACCTTCCACTCACGCCCCTGACCAGGAATGGAGCCTGTCCCAGAACCTCACCCACGTGACTGGAGGGGCTCGGAGGAGGGGGGCCCCGGAGCCCAGGTCTGTCCCCAGCCAGTCCCTGGATGCTGCGGCAGTGACCGAGCACTGATGGAAGACCAGGGATGGCCCCTGCTGTCCCTTTGTCCTGGTCAGCGGGGCGCGGGGGGGACGCTGGGGGCAGCGCTGGGAAGGGGCATCCGAGTGTGTGGTCACAGGCGTGTCCATGGTGCAGACGCCAGAGACCTGAGAGCAGAGATCAGAGGGAAAAGGAGTAAAACAGGTAGAGAGGGAGGACTTTCGAGTATTTATTGCTTAATACAGTTTGAGTTAAATTGAAGTTTGGGCGTGCACCGCTCCTATGTGCACGTGGGCCCGGGTGGCGCCGAGCCTGGGAGGGTCTGGGGACAGTGCCCGGGCTAAAGTGACGGCACCCAGAAAACCCAGCCTTGTCTCTCCCTCCCAGAGACTTCACGCCTGGACGCAAGCCGGGACACGGGCGCGGCCCAGCCCGGACGCAGGGCTGCCCTCGGTGGTGGAGGACACCCTCCCCGGCAGCGCCGACTCAGGCCTGAGCTGCGGGAGCACGTCGGAGCCGGGCAGCAGCCTGTCGGAGCCCCTGACCCCCGATGCGTGGAGCCGCAGCTTCTCCGGGGGGCCGGAGCTGGAGCCCGAGGAGGGGCTGGGCTCGCTGGCCGTCCCTGAGAGCCCGCTGCCGCTCGGACCCCCGCGGGAGGCCATCGAGGAGCACGGGCGGTGGCTGGCGCTGTGCATCCAGGCCCTGGAGCGCGAGGTGACGGAGGACGAACTGGTGCAGGTGGACGGGGCCGTGGACGCCCTGGCCGGGTGGGAGATGTTCACGGGGCAGCTCCCAGCCCCCAGACTGGACCTGCCCTGCAGCCGAGACGGCATGCGGCTGCGCAGGGTCCTGGGGGGCACGTTCTCCTCCCTGCGGAGGAAACTGAGCACATGCAAACTGTCCAAGGCAGGATCGTCCCCCGGTCGCTGGAGGGCAGAGGAGAATTAACGCGGGAGCCCATCTGTCCAGTGCCATGTACCCTGGGTGCCCGGAGGGGTGCTCTCCAGGGCAGCAGAGGAAGGTCAGCTGCGGGCCTGCATCCTACCCCTGGGGCCCAGCAGAGGGTCCTCAGGCCCTGCCTGGATGGCACGAGGGGTTCTGGGCCCGGACGTCCCTCGCCTGCATGGCTGGAATGGAGGCTGCTGGGGGCAGGGGCTGCCTGGGGCTGGAGCCTGTCTACACACCCGGGGAAAGCGAGGGGCTGGCGGTTCTGTCGACCCTGCGCGGGCAGGGGCACGGTGACAGGCCCTCCGTGTCCCCCGCAGAGGTGAGAACAGTGCGGTTTGCGGACAAGGGCGGCCTGTGGGGTCCCCGGTCCTGGCACTTATGGCATCGTTCATGACCTCTGGGTCGTCACGGACTTTTCCGACTCCGTCCAATGCGGGCCACGCTAAGGCGGCCAGCCTGCCCGGGGTGTGTGTGTCCCTTCGATTCTGTCACCTCGTGTTTCCTGCAGCTGAAGCTCTGGCGTGCAGGCTCATCTGCCTGCTCCGTCCTTGTTCTCGAACGTCCCCCGCGGCTGCAGGGAGAGAAGCTGTGGCTGCCAACGGCAGCGTTCTTGCAGCATCGAGTGTGGTCACGGCTGCTTCTCCCTCCCGGGAAGAGGCAGGAACGGGTGCTCGTACACTCCGGGGCTAGCTTACAGTTTGGGGGCTTTCTAAGGAGAAGAGTGCAAAACATACTCCAGATTTAGGGTCCCCCCCGCCTCCCCCCGCAAGCAGGCCTGAGGCTTCCTGTAGGCGGACACCAGGCGGGGGGCAGGGTCCCAGGCCCGCAGGGCGCGGGTGCGGGCTCCAGGGCTGGGTCCTGGCTTCCGCGAGCATCACCGTGACCAGGAGGTCATGGAGGGAGGGGGGGAAGCCGACAGAGGGAGGCCTGCACCTGGGGATCTGTCGCTGCGAACACAGCCCCCACCCTTCGCGCCTTAGAGCCCTGACCTTCTGCTCCGAGCTCAGCTCAGGCGTTTGGCCTGGGGCCAGAGCCAGCAGGAAGGTCGGCCTCACGGAGAGCTGGCTGCCGGGGCTGGGGCAGCACGGCCAGGAAGGCGGCAGGACCCCCAGGAACGCCCCAGAGCCTCGCTGCCACCGTACCCCAGCACGGCTGTCACCAGGGTCCACGGGGAGGGGCCCTGGGTGCCCCCTTCCAGCCAAAGCAGGGGTGAGGGGAAACCTGCCCGGTCTGTGAGCGTGGCTTGGATCGGCCATCTTGCCACCTCCGTCAGGTTACCTGTGTCCCAGTTTCCTTCCGTCTTCTGCAAAAGGTGGGTCCCCAGGCGACGGAGGAGAAGCTAGGACGCCCTGGCTCAGGAGCGGGGAGGGGGCGCTCAGGCGGAGCCCATGCCGTGGGGTGGAGCCGCCCCGTCCACTCTGCCTCCCCGTCCACTCTGCCTCCCGGCTGCACACGGACAGCGGTTTGAAAGCTGCTGGGGGAATGTTTTGAGACTCAAACTTTGAGGAAGAGAGGTTCTTTCTGGCATCAAACAGGCTGGGGGGGGGCGGTCCCCAGGGACGGCGGCTCTGGCGGAGGCTGGAACGCACGCCGTCTGCCCCAGCGCGCTCCCGGGCCCTGCACGGCCACACACCTCACCCAAGCGGAACCGGGTAACCCCACGTCATGGTTTCCGAGAAGCGACGGGCCCGGGCTTTTGTTAATAAACATACACGGTGGACTGTATCGCCTTCGAGCTCCGTATCGGTCACCGGGCCCCGTGAGTCCCACGTGGCCCTAAGGGCGTGAACGGAGCTACAGCTACTCTGGGGTCACGACATCACGTGTACCGTGGCGTGTGTGTGTGTGGGGGGGCAGGAACCTACGCACCTTCCAAAGCAGCTCAACACCCATCCCAACGGTCCTGCTGAAGGCTGGTGCAGGGCAGCCCCTCCCCTGGCAGCCCCGCTGCGGCCCCCACAGGGCCAGGGCATGGGGGGGGGCCTGTTCACACAGTCTCATGGGACAGCAGATTCAGCCCCTCCCGGAGGAGCGAACTCCCCAGAAGGGCTTAAAAATAACCCCAAACATGCCCTGCCTTAGCCAAGCAGCTAATGTTGAAGCGGAGAGTCCAAATTTAGATCCCATCAAGGCCAAAAGAGGGGCTACACCATTCCAGGGGTGCACACACGCACCCACACCCAGGGTCCAAGCTGCGGCCTCGAGAAGCTACTCTCAGACCCAACAGGCAGGGGCGGCGGCAAGACCCAAATCCACCTGGGAAGGGACAGGCCCTTCGAATGAATCTGTCTAGGCACCGGGGACCTGCTCACGTCCCTCGTCCCCGCGGCTCTCTCTGAGGAAGCACGCAGGTAAGTCTGAGCAGGAAAGGGAGTCGGGGCCCCGGTTCCAAGGTTCCCGGGAGGCCCTGGCAGCTGCAGCACGTTGCTGGACGGACTCCCTGGAGGTCGGGGTGCAGCGTGAGTGGGGGGCTGGCACGCTGGGGCGAGGGCCAGCTTACACAGAGCCCGAGTCCCTGGGGCTCCACGGGTTGTTTGTCCAGAGCGAGCGAGTCCCCAGCGGAGTGGGTGTACCTCTGGGAAGACCGGGGGGGGGTGCCAGGGCTTCACCCGGCGACTCCCAACCCAGAGCTGGGGCCACGGAGGCCACCACAGCCCTGGACGACTCCAGGTCACGGTGGGGCAGCCATACGCGGACAGGAACCCGGTTTCACGGACGCCTGAGGAAAGAGCAAACGTGAAGCCCTCAGAGAGAAAGCTAACGCTGCAGGGTAACTGGGAGTCGCGGGCCACGCCACCATCCAGAAGCGAGGCCTGGAGAGCTGCCGGGTCACCGGGCAGGACTGGCCGAGACGGCTCGCGCAGCCCTTCCCAGCACCGCCCAGCAGCACCTGGGTCCACGGGAACCCAAAATAACTGCTGTCTATTTTTGAACTTCTCGGGCACAGAAGCAAATGAAAACAAGCTAGTCAGGGGTTTATTTAAAAAAGCAATTTCCAAGAAACACCCTGGGGCCACGATGCACTCAGTCCCCCTCCCCCCACCCGTGATGACCAGGGTGACCCGCGGACTCGCTCATCGGAGGTGGCTGAAAGCCGTAGCCCGCGCCCCAGTGGGATCTGCAACCGGCCTCCACCTCCCGCCTCTGAAATGACCCCAGGCGCCCAAAGAACGAACCAGAAACGCAATCAATCAGGTTCCCCGTGAGGCCGACCCAAGTGGCCGCTACCTGAGCATCTTAACACACTTGTGAGGCGCTGAAACTGGGCCAGGCCCGGTGTCCCCCGCTCTGGCGCTGTCCCCTCCCTCCAGGCCAGCTCTCTGGCTACACTGCAGCCCAAACGTCACCTCTCAGCCGCGGCCAATGCGGGACATCTAGGTCCCACCGGCATGCTGAGCACCGCGTCACGTTCCTCCCGGCACTCGGCCCCCCCCACGCTTGTAAGGCTGGGTCGCGGGTCTCTCACTGGCCTGAGGTCTGCTCGCCACCAGCTCCCAGTCCACGCGGCACGTGTGGGGATGCACTCACCTGCCCCTGGAACAGGTGGCCGACAGAGCAGAGGGCTTCCGGGCTGCAGGATCCCGTCCAGGGCTGACATCACTTTCCTTTCCCTCATTCGGACTTTTAGCCATGAACGCTGATTCGCTGTTTCTCGCCACACCGGCTCGAGTAAGGGCAGAACGTCAGAGGGAGCGTGCCTGACCCTTCCGCGTGGCCAGGCCTCCACCGTGAGCCCTCAGACCGGCTTGGTGCCTTCCTCCCTCGGCCCGCCTGGGGAATGCTCCTGGGGGCTGCACAGGACAGGCACGCGAGTCACAAGCCGGGGGACAGGGCTGGGAGCACGGGGGTCCCGGGAGGAGAGTGAGAGCACCGTGCAGGGCCCGAATGTGCAGAAAGGGCCTTTTCTGAGAGAAGCCAGCGAGCGTCACCAGTAGGACCCACAGGAGCTCCGTCTGCCTGCCCGAAGTGTGAAGCACAAAAGAGACAGGGAGGGGTAAACATCACCGCAGCAGCTCTTTCCTCTGGAATCAGGCCTCAGCCCCACTCCAGCCACGTCCCTCAGGAATGAGCTGGGTGCTTCCCCCGAAGGTCCCCCTGGAGAGGCGGTTCAGGGGAGGCGGGGACAGCGGCATCCTGGCCGTCAGTCCGGCACCACTGGGGGCCCCGCCCAGCTACCTCCCATCCCCTCTGCCCTGGGGCCTGCCCTCTGCAGCCTGTCCCTGCCCCCCTGCAGGCCTCGCTCGTGGCCCCCGCTGCGTCCTGATCCCAGGAGCTGCCAGCACAACCAGATTAAACTACTAGATCGGCATCGTCCGTATTTATAAAAGTCCCACAGCCAAGGGGGAATTTGCCCAAGCGTAGGCATCTTGGTACCAAGATTCCTGAGGACTTTGACGTGCAGAGTAAGTTCTGCACAGTTCAAATTTTCTGGACCGCTTATGCATTACGTTTTCGTTCTTAAAGTTAATAAATGCTGTCAATGCACGTGAAGAAAAAGCCTGGAGGGAGGGGGAGATACCCAGCTGCAAACAAGAGCTTCTACCCTCTGAACCGAGCAGGTGCTCCTTCCTGCTGGGACGCAGGTGCCCGCCGGACCCGCTGGGCTTGCAGGTGCACAGGGCACTGGGCGGGGGAGCGCTCTGGCCCCTCACCCGCGCACACAGCCACGTGGCGCATGTCCCCGAGGCACCGCTCCTTTCACGTCCCTGCCCGGAGGGTTAGAATCCTACTTATCACACCGGCTCATTCCCCGTTTCCATGCGTTCTGGGGTCAAGGTTGTACCTCTCAAGGGACACGGTGGGTGGCTGTTATTTCTATTCATACTAATACTACCAATGGCATTTTTCCGACTCGAGGCCGGGGGCTCCACACTGTCGCCCGGCCGCGTGCTCACCTTTGATCTACGCTGCGGGTCCACACTTGTAAGGCTGCGTGGAGCATTACCGACAGGATGGGGCGCACCTGCCGGGTGCGGCATGGAGGGGGTGAAAGGCAAGCAGGGACAGGCTTACAGAGGCAGAGGACAGCAAGGGTCCAGATCCGAGGCTGCGAGCACCTACTCACCTCACCTTCCTGCTGGCGGCCACACGCACACGAGACCCGGCGGGAGGCCTTGGCTTCTGGAACGGCGTCCGCCCCACGAACCGTGCACTCCAGGATCCACGGTCACCTGTGTTCTCCCATCTTAGGGACGTCACACGCCGTGGCTGCGGGAGCTGGTGTTTGACGGGATGCAACACGCTGGGAAAGCAAGGGCAATTTAAGGCGAACCAT